CTATCATGGGTTACAAAAAAAAAAAAAATTAATGTTCTTCACAGAGTCGTTTTATATAAGCAATTTTAACTCAAAAATTCACCTCTAAGTGAATAAATTACATCCAATTGAGTATATTTTCTGATAAACAACAATATAAGGAATCAAAACCCTAAATTTTTAACATATTATTTCTAATATATCATGAAAACAAAATCAAAAGGCGGAAAAAAAAAAAAAAACAGCGAAATTTTGGTTCCGCAGACATTTCAGTGTTCATCTTAAATTTCTTGCTGTAATTGACCAGATTACGTAAAATTGAAAATTTTAAATCATACTAGACACAATAAAGATTAAAAACGATAATTATTGAACTCATTATGTTCAAAATATGCCGTGAAATAAATCAAATGACGAAAAAAAAAAAACCCAAACTTTTTACCTGATTTTGTAAACCGAAGCCTTCAATCTCCAAAAAACTCAGTTTTTCTCAACGATTATCACAAATTAGTAACAAAAGGTTTTGATTCACAACTTTAAGATCAAAATGCCTACAAATTTTGAAAGATTCATGCCCTATTTGGCATGAAACTTTCAGAAAAGGCGGAAACCCTAAACACCAAATTTTTCGTGATCCAAAAACAACAAATTTTTCCACATTTAATCCTTGAAAAAGCTGAATAAAGCTATTTACAGCTTGCGAATCAGATCACATGCAAAAAAAAACAAAAAAAATGATAAAAAAATGACAAATTTCAAAAAATCCCGTAAAAAACAATGTTCAACCCGTATTCTTCACGGACTCGCCGATTCCGCATAGTGAATCGACGAGTCACTGTACGAAATTATTCGGTTCTCTCTCGAACCGGACGATTTCTGATTGTTTAATCGATCCGATCCCTTTTCACGATTTCCGCGATGAATTGGACGAATCCAGTTCGACTCGACGTTTTTTAAAACGCTGCTCTTAATTAAGGTTCCCTACCTCTAATAAGGGTAATTTGTAAAACTCTCAAAGTTATTTTTAGGCGGTACGAATAAAGAAGGAAAAATGACATCTTTCTATGCCATTTGATGATACGCCTTACTTTGATTGTTTAGGGCCTCAGACTTATACAATCGGCACCCAATATGGAATGAAACTAAAAAATAACTCTTCAACGGAAAATAGGATCTTTTGTGCTTAATGACTTTGTAATATTGTTTGAGCCATCAAATGATATATTGCCCAAAATAAAAAAAGACTTCATTTTCCTTTTCTCCAATTTCTTTGTATTGGAATAAAATATATAAGAGTCTGATGCAATTTCTCTGGATTTCTATAATTCTTGTGCCGGTGATATCCGTTATTCGGGTACCAAAATAATACAATTTTTTTTTTTTTTTAATATTGTCATCATAATCCTCTAATTTCTCTCTATATCTCTTTCTTTTCCCTTGAAGTTACCCTAGAGGGTGAATTTATTTACTAGTCTTATTTAGGCAGCTGCAACACCAGCATAGAAAAGCTTCGGAGCTGAGCATGGAGAATCAGAGGCATCTAAAGGCTTCAAGGCTTCAGACCCACACTTTTCTTTGAGCTCATCACTTAGTATTTGTTGGCATCTACACTCAACACTGCAAAATGCCTTGTCACCCCTGCAAAACAACCACTAAATTTAGTCCACAAATAAAACCCAGCTAAATTTACTGAAGAAAACTGTCTAAAAAAATTAATAAAGTTGATAACATTTGTACAAAAAATAAAAAAAAATATCTAAAAAAAGGCTCATCTGTTTTAAATACCCCTATATTTAGTCTGTAATGAAACCCCAAATATTTTTAGAGAAGAAACCAAAAAGAGGAGTTACCACGCATTACAATTAACATTCATTTGCTAAAATTTCAGCTATTTTTAAAGAAGAAGTTGCTGTAAAAAGGTTTCCTGATTCAGAGATCAGTCCTTTAAATAGATGAACTAATTTGAGGTTTTCCCAGATTAGAAGACAATGAAAGTTTTATATCCTTCCCCCCCCCCCCCCCCCCTTCCCACCCCCTCTCTTTCTCTAACCAAGAACGTAACCAACTTTAATTTAAAAAAAGAAAAAGAAAACAAATCTGATATACATGTTACCGATTTCCTCTATACAAAAACTGTCCCCAAATTTGGATATATCAAATCTGCTCAATATAGAAAGAAAGCCCTCAAATTCATTAAAAGTTTGGATCCAATCCCCAAAAAAATCCTAATTTATAGTTTTCTATAAATTCTTCTTGATGGATAAGATTTCAAAGATCACAAACCATTAAAAGAAGATTTAAGAAGATATACTGAGATAGCCTGAAAATTACCAGCCAAAAAATGTTATGTAGTACTCACAACTCTAAAAATAATATTTTTAAAGCAGATAATACAACCAAGAATTAAATTGAACGAAACACGAGATTCGCAAATTAAATTCTAAGCGGATGAATTCATCAAAGCCTCGAAGGTTTGGATTTATGGTGTTCTTGTTCTGGAAGTCCTTAACGAAAAGAAAAAATAAATAAATAAATAAAAGAGAAAAAAGAAAAACAAAAATCCCGAAGTGCAAAAACCGATAAGGAAAATTTTCTTTACTCCAAAATTTATTCAAGAGGGAAATTAAAAATGAACCAAAATTGGAGATGAGCTAAAAACTTTTATTGTGGTAGGACTACTGATTCTGTTACAATTACAGAGTTGAAGACGATAGAAAACAAATTCAGGCCAACTTTTAGGAAAGGACCAAATTTGAAGAGAAAGGGCTGAAATTTCTGAATTTTGTACATTCAGAGAGAATTCTCCATGTTCATCGTTAAAGAATTTGATACATATTGATCCACTGATAAACAAATGGTATTAAAAAGCAGAGAGAGAGAGATAGAGGTGATCATCTAAAATCAAAACAAAACCTACCAAAATCTCACCCAAAAAAGAAAAACGCAGAACGCTAAAAGACCCGAGAATCGTGTTCTTCTCGGATAATTGCACAAAACCCAAAAAAATAAAATAAAAAGAAATAAATTAAAATAATATCATTTAAATAAGAGGTTTCAGAGGTGGAGAATTGAGTACCTGTACATGTATATATCGCGGCCATGGAGTTTCTTCCTACAAAGATAGCAGAACTTTAAAAAATCCAAAGCTTCATACGCGTGCTTCTTCGGTGATTCAAAGAAAAACCCACAATTTCCACAATTCTTCTCTGCAATTTCACAGCGCTTCTCGTCGAAATACTCTCTCTTCCTTATCGAATTCGGTCCATGATGGGAAATCACACAAGTATAACTCTCCGATAACTCTGTTTGGCGGGTTCCTCTAAATTTAGCAGAGATTTTAGCAGGGCCGATTGGAATTGGCTGAGACATCGGAGAAGTTGTCGGTCTATTAATGGCGTTGGCCATTAAAGTGGGTTTCAAGGAGAGAGAGTCCTGGTTTTGATAGGGCTTGTTCATGGCTGCTACTATGCCAAGCCCGACTCCCTCTAATTTTGGCGATCTTCCATTGATGGAGGAGCTTCTGATCTCTAATGGAGAGGTGGGGCTATTGGAGCCATCAGGCTCTGTGAAAGAGAAGAATAAAGGGATCTTGATAGTGGGTATCTCTGCTAAGTCTAGCATGAGGCTAATAATGGAGGTGTTCTTTTGGATTGCTCTTGATCTCTTGCCAAGCATCTCTCTGTGTTTAGAGGATGCCCACTTGATTTACAGGATTTTGCAGAGAGAGAGAGAGAGAGAGATAGAGAGAGAGAGAGGCTCTTGAGGCCACCTTCCCTGTGAAGTTTTGTGGTTGGGGAGGGGCAAATATAAGTTCACGGCAAGGGGGAGGGGGGGGGGGGGAAATATAAGTTCACAGCAAGTCATTAAAATTGTGGAAATGGACAACTTTTTCTTTCGTTTTTATCTTTTTAGAGAGAGATGAGAGAGAGAAGGGGCGCCTGTTGCTCGAGGAAAAGAGATAGAGAGGTATTTAAAAAAAAAGGACCCGGTTTTTATGCGGCCATGCCGGCATATGTAGAAGTGAGGGCCGATTAATAAATTTATTTTTGAGATGGATTTTTTTATTTAATTTTTAAGAACATGTAATCTCTAACATAGATCATGAAAATGAAAAAATAAATAAATTTTAGAAATTAGAAATAATAATTCTAGTAAAAAACATTTGGACCGTTAATTCAAATTGTTTTTAGATGGTACACCTATTTGTATTCATCTTTAAAATGAAAGCTTTACATTTTTTGGGCCGTAACGGTAGTCATGCGGTCCGACCCACATGAAAAGATTTTCCCTTCAAAAAACAAAAAAAACAAAAAAAAAAGAAAGAGTTAAAAAAAAAAAAAAAAAAAAAGAAAAGAAAGAGATGGGTCTATTTCAAGAGAAAGCGAGAGGCATATTTTTTAGAGAGAAAAAAAGAGGGGTATTTCAAGAGAGGAGAGAGAGGGAGAGGTAGGGAAAAGTATTTTCAAGAGAGGAGAGAGCGATTGGTTCATTTTTAAAAAAGGGATGTTTTTTGAGATAGAGAGAGAGAGAGGTATTACGAGAAGTGAAAATGCAGACCCCCGTAATTCCATTTCATAATTAGCGGGGAATTCAATTCAGCAAAAGAGAGACGTTGATGTCACTTTCTATACAAATGAGAGGAGAGAGAGAGAGAGAGAGAGAGAGAGCACTTTCCTTCCCGGCTTGGGTTTGGTCCTAAGCTCTTTTTAAGTCCAGTTTCATAAGTATGAATTTGACTTCAGTCAAGTGGGGTTTAAAACTAGTTTAGATCTAACTGGATCCGACGAGTTCAAGTCTATGGTGACCCGACCAATATATATGGATATATGCGTGTGATCTAGGTCCAGTAGATCTAGACTTGACTGATTCGGGTCTGGAGGGCCCATTTGCACTCATAGCATAGATCTATTGAGAGAGGTAGAGCTGCTCAAGATATTCACTTTGGAGGTTACGTAGATCCGGAACTGATAAATTCGGGTCAGACCGGCCACTTTTCACCATTAGAGAGAGAATTGTTGAGAGACATAGAGTGAGATGTTCAAGTCTCTATCGCCCTCCCCAATTTTACCTCGGAATGATAAACAGTAACAATGATATTTTGATACAAATGAGTCGCTTCTTAAAAATCTATTTGTGAGATGAATTTTTGGATTTAGTTTTTAAGGACATGTAGTCTCTAACATGGAGATCATGAATACGAATAAATAAATAAATTTAAAAAATTAAAAATAATAATTCTATTAATAAAACATTTAGAATGTTAATTTCAATTGCTTTTATATGGACCACCTATTTGTATCTATCTTTAAAATGGATGCTTTATGCTTCAAGGACTGCAAATGTAGAAATGTGGTCTCCGCCACATGAAATAAGTTTCCTTGATATAATTCTCAAAGACTTTATAAGTTAACTTGTAGTTTAAATTATAAGGGTGAGGTTTTAAGATAATGGGACATGTGTGCGTGTGTGTGAGGTTATATAAGGTACTCACCAAATATTAAACAAGCTAGGTATTGGAAGATGTAGTTATGGAGTTTAAAGCCTCAAGACAACTTAAATATCTATCTTAAAATACATTTATAGTTCCAAGAGCAATGTAAACGAGTATATTTATAAATATTTAAAAATCGTGAAAATAGCCGATCCAATTATGAAACTCGAGATTAAAAAGGCTTTCAAACTTAAAAAAAACTCTTTCTCTTTGGGTTTTTTAAGTCTTGTATAAATATTTTTCACCCGTTTTGTCTCTCTCAATCTAATATGATACATATATTATATATGGCACCGAGTTATTTATGTGGACACTATTCTTGAAGGTCCTCTCACCATTATGTCTCCGACCCGTTTGTATTGTTGGGTCCACCATCTCCTTTTTGTTTTTGCCCTTTAATCATTCCAATGTGGACCCTGCAAGAAAATTGCAAAATATCTCAATTTTTGCCCCTTTGTTTGAATTATATAGTAGAGAGAAGCCCCAACAATATTTTTGAATGACAAAATGCCCTATCTGCAAAGTAACCGCATTTTTACCTTTATACCCATGCTTAGACCCAAAATAAATCAATAGAAGAAGGGCAATATTGTAATTTGTTAAAGGCGGCATCTTTTCCATTTTAGAGCAGTATGCTTTACCCATATTATCACGGTTTGAAGGCAAGGCATTCTGATATTTTGAGAAACACCAAAGAAATATTAGATAGTTATTGTTTTTCTTTTTTTTTTTTTTAATTTTTGAGTTTTTATCGGAAAAAATTTATATAGAGCCGAGGCTCTAAATAATCAAATTAGAACTCACCTAAAAAATCTCACTAAAAGAAGTTGTTTTGATGCCCAAATATCTTCAAATTAATCATCTTGACATCAAGATGCATAGATATGAGAAAAACAAAATGGAATTTCAGTTTTAGAAATAGTGCATCTCTTAACGTATTTTTGGACCATCAATTTTTAAAAATTTCAAGTTTTCATAGATATGTTCGATCTACACTATTTTTGAAGCTTTAAATTTTATAATTAAATATTAAACAAAGATTTCTAGTATTGAAACCACATTTCTCAATACCATTTGAAGGTGCGCTTTACTCTGATTATTTAGAGCCTCGGCTCTATACAAACCCCACCCTAATCTATTGGTTAAATAGTTTGTATACCTAAATTTTAGGATAGTAAAATTACTTCTAAATTCAGTTTGAGAATAAGAGCAATCTTGAATAGTTTCTAAATTAGGTGTCTTGTGATAATTTCAGTAGGCTTAGAAAATCCGTATGTTTCATACACAAAAGGGATTATATTCTATGAAACTGATTACATTTGGTACAATATGGTCATCATTATATTTGATACAAAGTGGTCACAATTATTTACAACCATTTGATGTGAAATTTAAAAGGCTTATGTGATCATAAAGTTTCACGAAAATTTCATTCACATTTTGAGCCTGTCAATAGAACTGCTTTATTTCACGTCCAATAGTCAAGATTAACTGTGACATCCAAGTATTAAACAAAAAAAACTTCAATGCATATTTTTCTTACACAAAATTGCCAATATTTTGCATAATTCACACGAAACTCACCGAATGTTCGAGCTGAAATGCCCGAAATTTTAAATATCGTTACAAGGCACACATATTTTTTATTTTTTTTAATCTTTTAATCTTTTTTTCAGCCTTTATTCATTTTACTTTTTTTAGGCTTTATAAAGCTAAGCTCTCTTTTTGTTTTTTATTTAATTTTACCAAATTCCACTAATATCAATTGTGTACCATTTCTGCTTTTTAGTTTCCTTTTTTTGATGTGACCCTACACAAAAAGGCGTCTATTACACAATGTCCGTGAAAGTTAGAGGGAAAATATGTTCTCTCCTCCATTTAATTACCATCCAATCATATGGTCATTTCATATTATATTTTTAACACATTTAATACTAGTGTCATTTCACCAACCAAAATAAATGAATAAAAAAAGCAGCGACTTTTTTATGCATCGCCAGTCTCTTGTAGAACCGGGAATCACCCACCGTAATCTCCAAACCACCAACAAAACCGGCGGCTCACTCATTCATTTTTTAAAATAAAAATTTAAGGAAATTTATCAAATCACAAGTGATATTTAATTAAAAAAAATTAATTATTTTTAAAAAATAAATATAAAATGATTTATTTTTGATACAAAATGATCATTATCATTTATTTTTTTAATATAAAATTATTTAATTTCATACCTATTTAATTTCGTATCAAATGGTTATAAATATTGTAACCTCTTTGCATCAAAGATTCAAAAGTAAATGGTCTCATTGTATACAATCCTCTATGTTAATCTCTTTTAGATGGGGTTTTAAAACGTCAACAACTGACTCACCTTGTTCAAGTGCAATCTCCTTCCAAAGTCTATTTTAAATATGGATTTAGATCTAAAATTTATAAGATCGTTAATCTCAACCACGATCATTAATATGAAAAGGATAACTTCAAAATAGTAGAAGTAGATTGTTCTAGTTTCCGAGTTTTTATGTATACACAATGTTACAATGTCAGAAGGGTTGTACATTGCAGTTTAAAACTTGGACGAGTGGGTTGAACCAGTCACCAGAGCGTGTTTCGAGCCGACTCGTCAATTCTCAGGGTTCTTGATGTAGGAGAAATAAAATATTGTTAACAACTGATGGCAATTTGGAGGTCTAGGACTCAACTACTCAATTGGTTGTAAGAATATTCAGGAGGTTTCGAGTAGACTGGATGATTTTTAAAAGCCAGTATGGTGGATTAAAACCTATTGACTAACAAGGTTGTATAAGGTTCTCGATAACCCCTCAATTTGGGAAACCAAGAATCCTAAATACCGGGATTCTACCCAAGATCGTATACTTAATTGACCAAATGAGAAGTAGATGAATACAATTAATGAATCGAGTGCGAGAACTAAAGCAAACATAGAAAACACACTACAATAATACATAATTTATGTGGTTCATCCTGTAGGGCTACATCTACGGCCTTGGCAACTAGAAATCTACTATCACAACGAAGATTACAGTTTTGGGTTACAACAGATAATACCTATCGCTAAACATCGGTAAAAGACTATCATCGATCTTCCCTTATAAACTCGTTCTTCCAACCAAGCAACACCGTCGATCAATATCATCTTTCTTACCGAAAAGATAATCTCGAGAGCAACATGAAGATTTTATCTCTCTAGAAATAAAAGTTAATCAATTCAAAACTCATGAAAATACCGTATCTCTTTCAAAAGTCATGTTTATCTCTCTTGGAGACCCATTCCCATAACCTCTAAAAGGTGACCCTTAAAGATAGGT